TGGGGGGGAAAATTATGGCTAGGAGAGGGGATTTGTGCTGGGAGAGGGGCATTTGGAGGGGGGGGGGGGGGGATTATGCTCAGAGGGGAACTTTGAGGGCTAGAGAATTCGGGATAGGAGGGGGGATTTGGGGAGGGAGAGGATTTTAGCTGGGATGGGGGAATTGTACTGGAAGAGGGGAATTTTTTGGGGGGGGGAGAATTTGGCCTTGCAAAGGGAATTTATGCTTGGGGAGCAAGTCTGAAGATTAGTGATTGAAGTTTTATGGGTGGAGGGGATTTTTTCTGACAACTAGTGCTCATACATTTTTTTGGGGGTGGGCACAATTGAGCATCTTTGCCTTGTGCTCTAGAAGAGCTTGTCCCGGCACTGGGTCCATTCCAGATGATTGTGATATCATCAGTTTATCCATTTATGGACTGTTTTTCCATATATATGTTTGCAATTGCCCATTGTTGTCAGAGAAACAATTTAAAAACTGTATAATGCAATGTTCTTTTCCTGCATTATCTTTACAAGAAATCTGTCTTTGAAACTCCTAGTCAAACATGATGATGTTTTTACAATGAAACTCTCCTTTTATATAATAAAAGAAGAATTTGTGTTTTCTGGAATCTGATTTTACTGAGTGCTATTCTGTTTTTGACATGGGGAGCTCTTCTCAAAAACATCTTTGATATAGGGGAAGAACTGGTGGCAACTGCAAGTCCAGGAGGAAAATATGTAGCTCCCCCTAGAAAGATAGGATTTTTGTTGTAAGCTTGTTAGAAGCCTAGGATGAGTCCACCTGGGAGTAGCAGAGAGGTTACGTCTGGACAGGCTGTGAGGTACTACAGGTGAGGGCTTCCGGAGCCCTCCCACCCTTCTAAAACCTAGAGGAATTTTCAAGAAGAGGGGCGGAGGAGGGGAGGAAGCCTAGATTTTCATGTTTAAGGGAACTTGACCAATCCCCAGGCAAGAGGCAGGGCATGGTGGCTAAGAGCAACCCTTACATGTGGCAGAGCCTGAGCAGCAGGGAAGTTGGCTGAAAGATGGACTGAAGGAAGGTGCTGAAGTGTGGAGCCTGGGAGGAGGCCCCATGGAGGAGAGCCTACCTACAGGCTGGTGCTGAATGGAAGGATCTCCACTGTACTACAAGGGAGGACAACCTGTTAGCAGGACTAGCCCACCATAAGGCCTGAAAGCAGCTGCACCAAGCTAACAAGACAGGACAATGTGAGTACTTCATACCCCCAGAGCCACAGAATGGAGAGGGTGGTTCCCAGGAGCCTGCGGGAGGAAGGAGGGGGCCAAACTTCCGTCTCACTTCTCCACAGTGAACTGAACCGAAAGTGGGAGCGGGTACCTATCAAAAACAGGTATCCGCTCCCCCCTCCCCCCCAAGAGGTGTCCAATATGGCAGTGGGAGGGGAGAGGAGGCACACAAGCGGAGCTTCCACTTTTGAGTGGAACTCCACTTTAATTAACGTTCTCAGAGCAATGGACTTGTTATACAGTATTTGAACTTATAAAGTCATATTGTGGTCATGAAGGGGTTAAAGTTTTTTTTAAACAAAAACTGCTCTTGTTACCTACAGAGTCCATTCCAGTTCTTTTTGTTCTCCAGTGCTGTCCTGGGAAATTGAAAAAAGAAACTGGGGAAATCAAAGAAGAAAGTCTGTTTGGGATTAAATTTTTGTTAAAGTAAAAATAGCCACAAAAACAAATGTTATTGTTTTGGATACAATTCCATTTGTAGCTGTAACGCCAGGAATCAGAAGGGCTGAATATATTTTTACTTTCTGTAATTATTACCTTGTGCAGTTGATATACTTCTATCTTACAGACTACAATCCACAGAGAAAAAATAGTCTGTCTTGTATTTATGATTTACTAAATAATAATTTGTGGTAAAGTGACATTGAATGATAAACTTTAAATTTTACATAAACGTACCAGAATAATATCGAATTATTATGTTTTTTTGGTGCTGTGACTATAAATACCTGGTGATCCTGCCTGTTCCCTATTCACAGTGGCAACACTACTGCGGGTGATCTGCTTGCTTCTGTGTTGCCACTTGTTTTGCACATGCTCCAGATTCTTTCTAAAGGAAGCCATGACCATCCTCTCTCCTTCACAGAGCCGTACCACGTGACACTCCTTCATGACACACGTGATGCAGCTCAGGGATGTTGATTGACAGCGGAGTATTTCTTCTTGGCTTTGCTGTTTATCACTGCAGTCACTGCATGTGAATGGGTGGGCAGGGCCCCGGTAGTCACGTGATTGTTTTAAAAAAGGAGATTTATATGTAAGTAACATTACGTGAAAAAAACAAACAGGTATGCTTTAGGAGATAAATATTTTGGGTTCTGTTCCTCCTGGGCTTTTGTCTGGGCTGGATGCATGTCTAAATGTCTCTCTACTTGGGCCTTGCCTCATTTACCTGTCCCTCAATCCTGTGGTGCCCCCCGCTCTGTGTTCCCGGGGCCTGGCATCTTCAGTGTGGGCACCTGGCTGTGACAGCTTGCGGCTTCACAGAAGGGTGCGCACTGCGCATGTGCGAGTAGCGTTCCACTTTGTGAATTGTCCCGCAATCCTCTGGGACCTGTCACGTATCCCACCTGGGAGGGAGGAGGGGAGGAAAATGTCCACTTCTGATTGCCTAGCCTTTGCTGCCGCTCCCCAAAGGTGCCAATCCTTAAAGGGAGCGGGGGACCAGTCCTTAAAGCGGAACTTCCCCTTTTGGGTGGAGCTCCACTTTAGGCTACGTGCTGGAGTGGATATCTGGAGGTAGTTGGCCTGGAAAAAAAGTCTTCTTGCTGAAGAGCATCAATGAGGAGGTGAGTAGAAGCTATTTTCTGGACATTGTAAAGATTCACCACCCACAAGTGAAGGCTTCTTTGACAGTGTAACACCTTGCTATAAATGTCTAATGCAGGATGTTGAAGCCAACACAAGAATGCAGAACAAATAGCAGCCACATGTTGAACAATAGCCATGTGAAACTTGTATGCTGAATTGCAAGATGTCACCAAAGAAGAGTGCACCGGAAAACTACATTTCCCAGAGGAGCTTGGCAGGGACAAATATAACTAAAAGCCCAGGAGACTGATCGGGAAGTGGGAAGGGAGAGATCGAAAAAATAGGAAGTGTGCTGATGGCTGGAGTGTTGGACCAGGCCATGGAGCCAGAGTCATAGAGGAGTGGAAACAGTCTGCTGATCGTCAGTCTTGCCCCACAGCCCAGTGACCCAATCTGCAAGATCTGCAAGCAGGAAACCTGTCAGGAATTGACTGGCCAGCAATGGTGGGACTCACCTGCCTTTTGATCTGCAGTACCAGGGCTGGCCAGCGGATGCTCCCAGCAATCAGAGACTCAACTTTGCAGCCAGCTAACACCTGGAACTGATTATGCTGGGGTATTTAAGGGATGGCCAGACCCACAGACTCTGCCTTGGTGTTGTGTTTGTCCTGGGCCCTGTATCCTGTATCCTGTTTCTGTCCTGCATCCTGTTTCTGAACCGCTGCTGACTTCTCCTGCTCTGATCCCGGCTCGCTCCTGACCATCCCTCTGTCTGACCCTCTGTACCTCGCTGCTTGCTACCTGCTGAACCTGGCCTGTGACCCCGACCAATCTCCGCTTGCTCCCCCTGTACCTACCTGCCCTATTGATATTGACCCGGCCTGCCTGACGACGCTTGCTTGTATGTACTGTTATCTGTGGGTGGTTTGGTTGCACTGTATTATGTTTTAGTATTGCACTGCGTTTATGTTTGTATTGTTAGTGTTAATAAATTATATTGTTTATAACATATCTGAGGTCTGCGTTTCCCTGCGTCAGCCACACACCTCTGGTCACACCTGGGAGCCCTGACATTACACCAAGGCCAATCCTGACCAGAAGTGGCTGCACAGGGAAGCCATCTTGGCTTGTTGCTGGGAAGGATGGATCTGGATGAGGTTGAGTATTTATCTCTGCTAGTGTTTGATGACAGGGAGTATGCTTATCAAACTCTGAAGGAGTATACCCGGGATGAACTGCTAGAATGTATACGGCTCGCTCATGTTCTAGTAGATCAGGGCACAGATTTCTCTATGGTGCAGCCTTTGATTGAGGTTTGTGCTGAGTTGGTTTCATCTGGTTCCTCCGAATGCAGGGATGAATTTTTGCCACCATTTAGTGCAGACCAGGTAGAGTCCCTGGTGTGGTTATTAGAGGATGATGTGGGTTACTTTCTGGAGCGTTATTCAACATGTTCACCACAGACACTAAGAGATTGTATAAACGCAGTGCAGTCATTGACCAGACAGGCTTTGTGTAAGCTCAGCTTTGTTCAACCCTACTGCAGACATGGACAGACTTGTTGCACCCAGCCTCAGTCAGCTTACAAAAACCCAGTCCTGCTTCTAACTCTTCTCCTGTATTCCCAACAGCTCCTCCAGTTACAGCCCAGTATACTTGGCTATCTACCGCATGTCAGTCCCCTGCTCCCACTCGCTGCACCTATCCTGCCTTTAACCCTGTAAAGAAGCCCTCTGTAGCAACTGCTCCCTCTCCTGTTCCATCCTCCAGTTCTTCTCTGTCTCCAGCTGCTCCTTTCGTTTGCAGACCTGCGTTTACTTGCAGTGCTCCAGTAGTTAAAACCAGAAAAAAGCGAAAATTCTTTCCAACCAATACCATCCTGCCAGTATCCAAACCGGTGAGCCTGCCGTCTGAGAACCTGCCTTCCGTGGTTCAGCCTGAAGCCTCTACTCAGCCTGAATCCTCTACTCAGCCTGATGCCTGTACTCTGCTGATGCCGCTACACAGCATGATGAACTGATCCAGCCCGACGGTCCTATTAGGCCAGTTGACTCGATGCCCGCTGTTGATCCAGATGATCCGGTACCTGATCCAGTGCCCGCTGTCGTGCCAATTGACTCAGAGCCCGCTGTCATACCTGGTGACCCGGTGCCCACTGCCTTGCCAGATGACGTGGTGCCCGCTGGCAAGCCAAATGACCTGATGCCTGGTGACCCAGTGCCCGCTGTCATACCTGGTGACCCGATGCCCGCTGTCGAGCCAGACAGTCCGATACCTGATGACCCGGTGCCCACTGTCTTGCCAGACGACTCGGTGCCCGCAGTCTTGCCAGACGACTCAGTGCCCGCAGTCTTGCCAGACGACTCGGTGCCCGCAGTCTTGCCAGACGACTCGGTGCCCGCAGTCTTGCCAGACGACTCGGTGCCCGCAGTCTTGCCAGACGACTCGGTGCCCGCAGTCTTGCCAGACGACTCGGTGCCCGCTGTTCCGCCAGACGACTCGGTGCCCGCAGTCTTGCCAGACGACTCGGTGCCCGCAGTCTTGCCAGACGACTCGGTGCCCGCAGTCTTGCCAGACGACTCGGTGCCCGCTGTTCCGCCAGTTGACTCGGTGCCCGCAGTCTTGCCAGACGACTCGGTGCCCACTGTCGTGCCTGGTGACTCGGTGCCCGCCGCTTCGTCTGGGGGCCCGAGACCTGTTGCTCCGCCTGAGGGCCCGAGACCTGTCGCTCCATCTGGGGGTCCGGCGCGCCCGCCGCTCCGCCTGAGGGCCCGAGACCTGTCGCTCCATCTGGGGGTCCGGCGCCCGCCGCTCCGCCTGAGGGCCCGAGACCTGTCGCTCCATCTGGGGGTCCGGCGCCCTCCGCTCCGCCTGAGGGCCCGAGACCTGTCGCTCCATCTGGGGGTCCGGCGCCCGCCGCTCCGCCTGAGGGCCCGAGACCTGTAGTTCCGCCTGGGGGTCCGGCGCCCGCCGCTCCGCCTGGGGGTCCGGCGCCTGTCGCCCCGCCTGGGGGCCCGAGGCCTGTCGCCCCACCTGGGGGCCCGAGGCCTGTCGCCCCGCCTGGGGGCCCGGTGTCTGCTGCTCCGCCTGGTGGCCCGCTGCCTGCTACTTCGCCTGGTAGCCCGATGTGCCTCTGCCCGGAGTCCTGCCCGATGTGCCTCTGCCCGGGAGTCCTGCCCGATGTGCCTCTGCCCGGAGTCCAGCCCGGTGTGCCTCTGCCCGGAGTCCAGCCCGGTGTGCCTCTGCCCGGAGTCCAGCCCGGTGTGCCTCTGCCCGGAGTCCAGCCCGGTGTGCCTCTGCCCGGAGTCCAGCCCGTGTGTGCCTCTGCCCGGAGTCCAGCCCGATGTGCCTCTGCCCGGAGTGCAGCCCGGTGTGCCTCTGCCCGGAGTCCAGCCCGATGTGCCTCTGCCCGGTGTGCCTCTGCCCGGAGTGCAGCCCGGTGTGCCTCTGCCCGGAGTCCAGCCCGATGTGCCTCTGTCCGGTGTACCGCTGCCCGGAGTCCTGCCCGGTGTGCCAGTCTTTGATATCCCGCCAGTTACCAGACCCGGGCGGTGGAACATTTTTCCCAGCTAGGACTGTTTGGAGCGTCCTGAGGCCGCTCCTTGAGGGGGGGGTACTGTCAGGAATTGACTGGCCAGCAATGGTGGGACTCACCTGCCTTTTGATCTGCAGTACCAGGGCTGGCCAGCGGATGCTCCCAGCAATCAGAGACTCAACTTTGCAGCCAGCTAACACCTGGAACTGATTATGCTGGGGTATTTAAGGGATGGCCAGACCCACAGACTCTGCCTTGGTGTTGTGTTTGTCCTGGGCCCTGTATCCTGTTTCTGTCCTGCATCCTGTTTCTGAACCGCTGCTGACTTCTCCTGCTCTGATCCCGGCTCGCTCCTGACCATCCCTCTGTCTGACCCTCTGTACCTCGCTGCTTGCTACCTGCTGAACCTGGCCTGTGACCCCGACCAATCTCCGCTTGCTCCCCCTGTACCTACCTGCCCTATTGATATTGACCCGGCCTGCCTGACGACGCTTGCTTGTATGTACTGTTATCTGTGGGTGGTTTGGTTTGGTTGCACTGTATTATGTTTTAGTATTGCACTGCGTTTATGTTTGTATTGTTAGTGTTAATAAATTATATTGTTTATAACATATCTGAGGTCTGCGTTTCCCTGCGTCAGCCCACACACCTCTGGTCACACCTGGGAGCCCTGACAAAACCTGTTGGGATGCTGAATCGGGCAATCAGGACTGGAGAGTCTGTGGGGGCCCCCATCTGCAGGGAAAGATGGAAGAACTGCTAAGATCGCCGGACACCATTAATAGGTTGAAAGTCCCATACACCCACTAACTAAGAGAACAATGACAATTTCATCACATCTGTTATCTCCCTGCACATAGTTGCGGACATTACACTTAGTTACCCTACTTTGCGGCCTAGTTCTCCCAGCTGCCACCGTTGGAACACATTTTCATTACAGTCTCATCATCCAAGCTGACCACAGGACACACAACTGCAAGCCAGAATACAGCAGTGCAAGCTGAAACCACAATTTACCCTTCCCAGTTGAATGGGATTTATATTACTGTTGCCTGTGATCCTTGTCAAACAGACAGAGAGAGTCGTTCTTGCTTACAGACACTAATGCCAACTGTTACACTTTACTTCAGATCTGTCTGTTTAGTGCCTTGAAGGGGAAACTACATCAGTTCACCACCATTAAGAGGAGAAGTACTTATTAACTATAATCTACATCTTAGATCATCTTAACACCAATTGGGCCCCAACTAGCGTGCAGAAGACTCCATATTGTTTTTAAAGGGACATTGGTTGATTACAGATGAGAGCTCTCTCCATTTTTCAAATCGAATCCTTTCCATCAGGTTCGGAGAACCTGCAGTGAGCTTATCTGTTTATTGATGGTTGTTCTTGCTCGCTTGGGATTCAACTGTTAGCTAGGATTGGAGGCAGCGGATTATTTCTAAAAGTAGGCCTGCTAACAGTCACTGGTACCTTTCTGTGGATGATGTTACTTTAACTTAAAGTTGACAAGAGTGATTACATTGCTGCATATGCCAATGCTATTTTGTGTTTTTTTTTTTTTTTTTTTTTTTAATCAAGCTACATTCAAACTCAATATAAACTTCATATTGATTTACACTAACTTGTGCGTGGGTTCCTTTTACAGTGGTGACTTATATGGGTCTCGAGCGCGTTCGTGTCAGCAGAGTTTGGGTTTTCAGAAAGAGGTCCAGATCAACAGGGAACCCAAGAATTTCTAAGCAACCTTTAAGGGGGTAGACCTACAACAGCAATCAGAGGGTCAAGAGCCAGATTGATTATAGAGAGATCCACTTCTCTTTAAGGCAAGGCTTTGACTACTCTTACAGGTTCATAGATCTGTCAGGTTTCTCTTGGCCTGGAGAAAGGCTGCTTTTGGTCAGGACTAATGTAGAGATTGCTCTTAAAGGATCTCATGACTACTTCTGCTACTTCTAGAATTGAGCTCAGCAATAAAAGTTAAAAAGAGTAAAGCGACTGGCACCCAACCTTTTTTACGTCCCACCGTACACCAAGGAGCAAACCTTGAGATGGAAATATTAGCCATACTGCAGAGAAGTCTGAGGTGTGTGTGTTATCACTGGACCAGTGAATAGTCTTGTTTTGATGGAAGCACTGTGGCCTTGGTCGTCCTTAAGAGATCTTGTACCCATTGGAGGTGTGCTGTAGGCAGGGGCGGACTGACCATTCAAGCACTCGGGCACTGCCCGGGGTCAGTAGGGGGCCCCATGAAATGCACCTGTTACCTTTTACAGGCTCTTTTGGGTGTGCTTTGAGTGTGGACAAGGACACAGGGGCCCCATCATCCCCTATTGCCCAGGGGCCCCATGACTTGTCAGTCCACCACTGGCTGTAGGTAAACATTGTCAAGGTCTTGGGCTGCTGCTTCTCTGAATTTAACAGGAAAGATACTCCGCAAGGTACTTTTGGATTGGTTTAGAGGCGGGCTTGAGAAATGAAAGTTCGTCACACTTGAATATTTGTATATTTAAAATATGTATTGAAAGTGATAGTTCACAAGAGAATGGTCAAGCCAATGCATTTCAGGGGAAATTTCTCCCCATTCGTCAGTGCTGCAAAGGTGGATGTGATAGGAACAGACCTGGAACTGAGATGCGGCTAAGAATGCGACATGTCATTTCACATGACACTCCACTATTCTGCAGTTTGACAACTTCTAACGGGCCTCATTCTTAGCCACATCTCATTTCCAGGTATGTTCCTATTGCATCCACTTTTACAGCCCTAATGAAGAGGGAGGCATTTCCCCCAAAACCCATTTACTTTACCTGTTGTGAACCGTCAATATTAATCAATTTCTAAAAATATACCTTCAAGTGTGGCATACTTTTATACTGAGCAAGCCTCTATACCCATCCAATACTACTTAGGAGGTCATTCTGCACCACCCAAGAAGGGGAGTGCTACTCAAGGTTATTGCAGTATAGTTTGATTACCATGCAGACAATATTTGGTTGTTATACATCAGGGCCTAGGCATTGCACAGTAGATTTTCACAGTGTTCTCTTTTCCTGGGCTCTATGGACTAGTCCATATACTTTTCATTGAGAAAAGCTGCCTAAGACCAAGACCCCTAGACCTGCTTCCCCCCACTTTAAAAAAAAAAAAAAAGACTCCTAGTTATTTGCCTAAATGGCCTTTCCACAATTCCAGACCCACTAATTGTGTTTGTAAACTCTGGAAGACATTTTCCATAAGGATTTAATGCTAACTGCAGCTGTGATGCTGTCATTCAGGACAAGCAAGCAGATGGTACACAGCTGTAAAGAAGGGAACACAGAAGTTTCCTCCAAAATGTTATGCAACATTAAATGACAGTTTTTCCCCTCAGTCTTTTACTGTGGGAAGGTTGTGCCATTGCAGTGTTTAATGTCTACTATACCATTCCCAGATTCCAGGCAGTCATCAAACCAAGAGATTTTTTCTTCTAGTACAATGAGAATGTTGCTACTGAACACTCCTCCTGCAAATGCCATTTGCCTGGCTGTCATGCTAAAGATGGCCATAAGTTGGCAGATTTTTGTATTGAATGTTCATTCAAAAAAAATCTCATCAGTACATTTGATAATGCCATCAGAGACTTGACAAATGGTGCTCAACAGTACACCAACATTTGATTTTGTAATGAATGGGATTTCACAAATGAAAAACACATTCACAGTGAGAATTTTGTTCCTTTAAAAAAAAAAACAAATTCCATCCTGCTCCTTCAATTTTGAATTGTTCTCCCAACCCCACCACTACCCCCACCATCCACCACCCAACCAACATAAAAAAAAAAACACACCACCACCAAAACAATAAACAAAGCACCACCACCAACCCAAAAAACAAAATGTAAAATCATTATACCTCCACCACCCCCCCAACCACACCACCATCCACCAACCAACCAACACCAAAAAACCCCACATCACCATCAAAACAATAAACAAAACACCACCACCCTAAATGTAAAATCCTATATTCATTTCTTCCATTGTATTTCACTTATTTCTATCCTTCACCTAATCTGATTTACTTTGTGAAGACCCCACACATTTACTTCCCTGAATTTTGTGACACGTAATCACTATGCCCTGTGAGGAGCCACTACTGTGGCTTCTATACTACAAAGATGCTAAGAGGAGGAGTTTCAGGAGGTGGAGTCAGTACTGGAATCCCTGCTTGCAGTCAAGGTGCCATGGGATATGTAGTCCTTTAGAAATGGAGAAGTAGCTGCAAAGCATGCAGGGAGTCCAGGAAGTTGTGGAAAGAGACGGCCAGCAGACAGGCATCACTCACAACATGAAAGGAGATTTTTCTTGTAAGATTATATTGGATTGTCAAAAATAATGATTGTTTTTATAGCGTATGTAGTATTACAATGTTGATGATATAAAATGAAAGTGTATGCTGTGACCCTAAATTTCCTAACTAGTTCAGCTCATTGGATGTATATAGTACGTTCAAACAGTGGACCATTAAGCACAAGCTGATGATTGTAGTAGCAGCCTACAGCTTGTGCCAGTCAGTCAGTTCAGCCGACTCACAGCTGGTAAATGATCTGGCAGCTGTATAGCCGCTGTTCACTTTCCCTCTGTGAGCTGCACAGAGTTCCCTCCCCAGCATAATTCCTGGGCTCTCCCACTCCAATCAGAAGCCTGAGACAACACCCAGTTGCTTCAGGATGGAGAGTGGGATGAAACTGAGGGACACCCGGTCGTTGATTTCCTCTGCACTGAATGAAGACAGAAGTGTTGATTTTGTCCCTTCCAGTTTCAGAGGTTTCATTCTCTGGCAGGTACAGGGAACATAGCAGATTTGTGCTTGGTTTGATGTTTTGGGGGGCAGTGGGTCTAATTTTGGGGTTTATTAGAATACCCATTTACATGCAGGGAAACTAAAAAAAAAATAGTAGCACTTTAGATTGCACGTGTCAACCCTTCCACGCTATGGCTCAAACACAAAAAAGGTGTATTTTGGTAAAATTTCAATGAGTTTTGTTTTACGCATTGTCAACTGTCTGGTATCCGCTTTATACGCATATTTCCTGTGCCATTCTGTATTTCACTAATAAACTTTTATGGAATAAAAAAATATCAATGAGTAAACATATGCAGTAAAAACACTAAACTATGGTGAATAAAACTTCAGCGGCTATAATAAAGTGAAATATAAACCTATGAATTGAGGTATATTTGATTGCACATAATTGAATGAATTCTGCAGAGCTCCACCTCATTCACTTAGCTCTGAGGAAAATTCTTTTGCGGCGTTTTAACTTCTCTTGCAAAGTGGACAATCCATTTGCCTTTAGTAAATAAACTCCAAAATGTCCTGGGCTGAAAATTAAACACACATATAATATTATTATTATACAGGAGTTATATAGCACCAACAGTTTGCTCAGCGCTTTACAATATAATGGGAGACAATACAGCAACAATACAGTTCAATACAAGAGGGATATAGGAGGGCCCTGATCCTTGGAGCTTACAATCTAAGAGGCGTTGGTTTACTGAAGGCAAACAGGCTGCTCACTTTGCTAGAGAATTATTCCCATAGTTTAGTAAATGTGGTAAAGTTTTACTTTGTAAAGGAATACCCAATCACGAGTACGAAAAATAGCAAAAACCTGCATTTATGATTGAATGGTGGAAGTCAGCAGAGCTTCCTCTCATACACTAAGCTCTGGGGATAATTTCATTGCAAAGTGCACCTTACCTTCCGAAGGGAATAGTCTATTTGCCTTTAGGAAATCAACTGCATAGTTTCACCTGAAGCCTAAAATACAGCCTGAGGGGTCTTTTCTCATGCCATGGGCATGCTGTGCGTTACAGCTGCAACAAATTTAATGCCGCATGCCGAGTTGACAGGCAGCACTGTTTGTCCAACTCACCCATTAAAGTCAATGAACCACAAGCCAAACCTCTGCAGTTTCAGCTTATTAGTTTTATTGTAGATTGCTTCCTGAACCCCTGACGGGAGGGCTGCTTAGTGGCTCCACCACAAATTTATTTAAACAACATTGGCCCTTGGAGTGTTTTTATTGCCTTTGGCCATAACAGGATTTGTGTATGCCTTTCTGTGCTTTGCTGTTGGTCTACATTTGTGCAGCATCCATAATAGATCTGCAGCACAATGTTAGGGAATTCAATCAAGCTGTTTGGAAAAGTATTGAGTTGAGTTTATAGATTCCTTTGCCATGGGTCCTGTTGCATTTTTGAAATTGTAGTCAGGGGCGGACTTACCATTTGGAAACTTGGGCACTGCCCGAGGGCCTGAGGTCAGTAGGGGGCCCCATGAGATGCCCCTGGTACTTTTTTTGCGTTTGGGCAAGGACACGGGCCAGATGATCCCCTATTGCCCGGGGATCCCATGAGTTGTCAGTCCGCCCCTGATTGTAGTATGTTCTGTTGCATTGTATCGGTTTTTATCCATCTAAACAAACTAAAACTGGAATGCAGTGTGAATGCCCGGCATACATATTGTTAACACAGCTGGTTTACCCTGAAAGCACCTAAATGCACGTTTTGGTTTCTTTTTTGACTTTTTATAGCTGCTTACCTTTTGTTTCTGACCATAGCTACTCTCGGTGTATTCATTGCTATATACACAGTATTTCCCAGTTTGGATATTTATGAGGTCTAGAATCAGAGATCACACTTTGCAGTCCCTTTACTTGATAGTTTGACTTCACATATTTTTGCAAAGATATGTAACCAAAATCTGTTTTTGTAGGCTGCTGGAAATGGCACTTGCATACAGTCACCCTTAAGAATATGGCTAATGCTGAAGTTTAGTCTGCTTGTATTTGGCCTTCCGTAGTTTCTCCTTCCCCATCATGAACATACTAAATTAACTGTTTAAGCGGAGCTCCACCCGAAAGGGGAAGTTCCACTTTAAAGACTGCTCCCCCACTCCCCATTAAGGATTGGCACCTTTGGGGGGCAGGGGGGAGCAGGTACCTGAATTTGACAGGTACCCGCTCCCACTTTCGGTCTGTTTGCCTAGGCAATCGGAAGCGGAAGGTGTCCTCCCTCCCTCCCTCCCTGTAGTCTTTTGGGACACGTGACAGGTCCCAGAAGACTACAGGACCATTCATGAAGCGCAGCGCTACTCTCACATGCACAGTGGGCACCCGGCTGTGAAGCTGCAAGCTGTCAGAGCCAGGTGCCCACACTGAAGATGCTGGTCTCCTGGAATACAGGACAGCCGGTGAAACTGGCTGCGGGGGACACACCACGGGACCGAGGGACAGGTAAGTGGCTGTTTTTTAAAAGTCACCAGCTACAGTTTTTGTAGCTGGTGACCCTTTCACAGGGGTCTCCTAACACCATCGGAAAACACATATTTCCGATGGTCTTAGGAACCGAGACACCACTCCTCTATCAGTCTCCAGGCGGGTCCGCCCACATGCAGATACGTCCACATTTCCCTGGACCGCGATGTGTGTGCTGGATGACACGCCCGCCCCTGTCATCTGGCCACATCCCCGGGTTCACTCAATAGCTCCGCCTCCTCGCCAGTGATTGGCCGCCAGAACTGTAGCTCAGGAGAGGCACACAGGCTGCCAATCACCAGCGAGGAGGAGGAGCCAAGCAGCAGCGCGAATATCAAAGAAGCTCGAGCGAGGGAGTGGCCGGAGAAGGAAGACAGCTGACAGGTAAGTGTCTGTAGCGTGCAGATGGTGCTGCTGCAGCCAGGTATGCTGGAGCAGGAGTCAGCAAGGTAAGTATCATTGGTGTCAGTGGGAGGAATAGTGCCCCATCATTGGTGTCACTAATACCAATGATGGGGCACTATTCCTCCCACTGACACCAATGATGGGGCACTATTTCCTCCCCCCCCCCACTGACACCAACGATGGGGAACTATTCCTCCCCCCACTGACACCAACGATGGGGCACTATTCCTCCCCCCACTGACACCAACGATGGGGCACTATTCCTCCCCCCACTGACACCAACGATGGGGCACTATCCCCCCCACTGACACCAATGATGGGGCACAATTCCCCCCTACACTAGTATCAATGATGGGGCACTATTCCCCCCCCCACTGACACCAATGATGGGGCACTATTCCTCCCACACTGACACCAATGATGGGGCACTATTCCTCCCACACTGACACCAATGATGGGGCACTATTCCTCCCACTGACACCAATGATGAGGCACTGTTCCTCCCACTGACACCAATGATGGGGCACTATTCCTCCCACTGGTACCAACGATGGGACACTATTCCTCCCACTGATACCAATGATGGGGCACTATTCCTCCCACTGACACCAATGATGGGGCACTATTCCTCCCACTGACACCAATGATGAGGCACTGTTCCTCCCACTGACACCAATGATGGGGCACTATTCCTCCCACTGGTACCAACGATGGGACACTATTCCTCCCACTGACATCAGTGATGTGGTACTACTCCTCCCACTGATACCAATGATGTGGCACTATTCCTCCCACTGCAAAATTACAGTTATGAAGTAGCAATGAAAATAATTTTATGGTTGGGGGTCACCACAACATGAGGAACTGTATTAAAGGGTCGCGGCATTAGGAAGGTTGAGAACCACTGAGTTAGATGATGCTGGATTTCCTCCAGCCAGGAAATAAAGCCGGCACTATCTCACCTACTGCAGCTTCTAATGCACCCTGCAAAAAGCTCACAGTGTGGAATAAAATCATGAGCCTGTACGACTGCGCAAGACTGGAGGTGAGGCTGAAGTTCAGCTTTAAATAAATCATGATCCACGTCTGCTTCTTCATTCTCAAAAGTCACAGAAAATCCTTCCCAAGGGACAATCCGCTTCCTCTCTCCACTGACTTGTGATACATCTCTGTAACAAGATGTACAGTATAGCTTTTATTTGCAACGTGTCTTTGAACTTGCTAGAAAAATTGGCTAATGTATGAAGAGTCAGTTCCCCGGCACAGCCCACTCCCTCCTTTCACACCATAGCCTCTCTGAGCTGGCCCAGCTCCTTTGCTCCTCCCTTTTACGCAGCTTAGCTGCAGTAGGAGAGTGAAGGGGAATTTTATTGAGTCTGCTGAGGCTTATGACAACCTGACATCCATGATGATGGCACCCAGCTGCAGTCTCAGGGCTTTTGGATACCTACTCAAGGGAGGCTCTTGTAGGCAAATATGTTAAATGCACATGTATCTTATAGGAAGATGTTTTTATTATTAGATTAGTGGTCTAGTGGAACTTTCCCTTTTTAACATTTATATTGTTTCAATCTTTAGAAATCCATATGGGGGGATGTCACAGTTAATACCCATTCAGCTATTACCCTGCTGGAAATGATCTTGCTAATGAGACTTTTCTGGAGAATGGGGAAATAATGTCCATTTCATGATCTGGTGTACGGGATGAGGAATGTATAAAATCCTGTTAATACCCAGGCTTTCTGTAGTGGTTTGAGAACACGTGCAGATGGGAAACACATGGGCCACCTACTTTGTTATATTCAACTTTAACCGCACGCTCTGCTTGGGCCTTGAGTGACATTGTCTTCTAGAAGAAAATTAGAGCTGTCCTTATAATGGGATTTCTATTTATTAAAGCACTTTCAAAGTTGTGATCTTCTGAGTTGCATAGAAACCGTCTGTAGCTGACACTAGAATACAGATTCATTGTTAAAGTGGATCTTTCAAGGCTTTAAATGAATGAAAAGTTACTGATCTGTCACAATATAAAGTAAAATAAATTTGTTAGACATGCATTTCTTTTGAATTTTTTGTTGCTATTCTGTCTCTCAGTGTTACAATCAGGGGCGGACTGACCATATGGAAACTCGGGCACTGCCCGGGGGCCCGGGGTCAGTAGGGGGCCCCATGAGATGCCCCTGGTACCTTTTTCATAGACTTTTTTGAGATTGGGAAGGACACAGGGGCTCCATGATCCCCTATTGCCCCGGGGGCCCCATGAGTTGTCAGTCCACCCCTGGTTACAATACACCTACCATTCGATTTTTAGACTGATCATTTCTTTGTGAGTGGGCAAACATTCAAAATCAGCAGGGGATCAAATAATTAACTGTATGAAGAAAATAAATAAATAAATAAAAAACAAACTTAAAGGGTTACTAAACCCCATAACGGTAACATCAGTCTGTATATGCAGTAAAGCATGCTTGTTCTATTTACTGTGGAACCTAAGGGGTTAATCCTCCACATTGTGTAAAAAGGCTGTTGATCCTGTCTTCTCTGATCCTCCCCTTCTACTGTTCCCAATCCATCTCCTGATAGAACAGAGCCTCAGGGACACTCTGCACATGCTCAGTGTAGTGTGTATTGCTAGAGGGTTTTTTTTTTCTTTGGTAGGATGCATGTGATCAGCACAGAGCCAATCAGTACTATCCAGACAGAGTGTCATGGGTTATGCAGCCTTGTAGGACAGTCAGCTGGACACTTTAACCAGTGCTCAGCTGGACACTGATAGAAGTCACAAGACTGCTCTAACTGTTGATGAGAAAAGGTATTTAGCATTTTATATTTACTAAAATAATTGTATTTACATGTTCTGTGTACCGTGGGAGACCAGATATAGTGAATGCAGGGTCCGGGGAGACCGGATATAGTGAATGCAGGGTCCTGGGAGACCAGATATAGTGAATACAGGGTCCTGGGAGACCAGATATAGTGAATGCAGGGTCTGGGGAGACCAGATATAGTGAATGCAGTGTCCTGGGTTTAGCAACACTTTTTAAAACGTCAGTATCTGGACATTTTAAAAAAAAGTCCAAAATGTGTGATCCAATCCTTCTTTTGTGTAAAGTTTATCCATAAACCACTGTGCTTCTTTGTGTAAACCAGGTAAAAGAACATAAAGTCTGTGCAGATGGATTTGTCCCTTTACCAATTTAGATGGACAGCCACTCCCCAGATATTATTGCCTCTCTTTAAACAAATGTGGCGTAGATCCCAGGCTGGTCCCTCTGTTTTGTCCCAGGATCTATATTTCATATTGGGGGCAAGGCAGCCAGGCACACAGTGGTTTCCTGGTCTCTCAACACAATACTCAGGCAGCAAGTGTCTTTTTGAAGTTTAATGCTGGGTAAACTTAGGGGAGATGCAGGGTGCGTCTTGGGATACTCCAAATTCAGTGCAAACTGTCACAGAGGACACTAGCAGCTAAACTCTTCAAGATGGACCTCTTGTGATAAAAGATAGCTAACATACAGATCAGGGAACTCTCACTATTATTATTATACAGGATTTTTTTATACCGCCAACAGTTTGCTCAGTGCTGTACAATATAACGGGAGACAATACAGCAACAATACAGTTCAATACAAGAGGGTTAGGAGGGCCCTGATCCTTGGAGCTTACAATCTAAAAGATGGAAGCAGCGCTAAGCCAGCAACTCTAGAACAGTCTCTCCCAGGGTCAAGCAACAACAGTCACTAGGATTTCTCTCTCTCAGGCCTCTACCCACTGTGTGCATGGATACCTCCCTTCCAGTACCAGCTAGACTCTGTACCGTGAGCTTCCAAGCCAGATCCTCAGTCAACTCTCCCCAAACTGATCTCAGCAACTTTAGAGACTGCTCCCCCGGCTCTCTATGGGCTGGGATCTTGATGAAACTCTTACAGATAATCTGCCCAGAAGGGTAGCAGCCCCTTCAGGTTGGATCTTCTCCTCCAGGACAAGAACTGTGCTGCTCCAGGCCCTAGACTATTTATACACACCTCAGCCCCATTCTGGTCACCCTTCTGACCAAGGATTGGCTGAGGCTGTACGAATATTCAGCCCATGGTCTACCTCTTCTAACCCACTGTATTCTAGAACTCACTAGAACACGAGGGAAGTAGTTGAAACTGCAACCAGCAGGACCCAGAATAGCCAAAAAGCCATAGCAATCAAACTCTGCTCCACTGGCTACAGAGGAGCCAAAAACTAAATCTACCGAATTCTACTAGAAACCTAACTAGGGTGCTGCACAAAGTTCATCAAACAACACCCTGCCATCCAGTACAGATGCTTCTCTCACAATATCAAATCTCCTCCTACTCTTTTCTCCACAGTATTCTCATCATAAGAACATGGAAAATGAAACCTTACATTGCATTGTACTGCTAGACCAGGTATTTGTGTATTAGAAAGGTAAATATACTCTCCAACACATTTTTCCAAAGCAGATCACAAAGGATGTGAAAGAAAGTGCAAATCACTAAGCTTCATAGTGTAACATGCAAGTGCCATAAATTGAGTGCAGATTCCACATTCAGGTGACCCTCCACCGATTCGGTTGGACAGATACTCACCAGGGAATGTTACTTCTCTTTAGATAAAGATCAGCAAAAAGCTCTCTGAACTCCTGTAATCCTGTTCAGCTGCTTCTCATGCTAGCTTCCCATGCTTCTCCGTCTCCACAGCATTCATATCATAAAATCATGGGAAAATAAAACAATACATGGCATAGTACTGTGAAACCCAAGTGTTGTTTATTAAAGAGCAAATATACCCACAAACAGAAATATTGTAAAAGTCCAAATATCCTATCCCTCCCTCCCTCCAGAATCCACTGTAGATAGTGGCCGTGATGCTCTGTGCTGCTGGTGTAGCAGTCTATACACAGCAAAACAGAGACCTGGTGTGAGTATCCATCACATTGCTAGTAATGGCAAGTGCTCATTGATCAGCATGTGACTGCGCTGACCAAGGAGAAGAACTTCTCTCTTCTTGAACACCCTACCTGAAGAAGCCTCAGATGCACCTCTCATTGGTCACAAGACTGCACTGACCAGTGAGCACTTGCCATTGTGAGCATTATGATGGATACTCCAGAGTTGATTATTATGGTGTATGGACTGCTACACGGGACATCACCACTGCTATGTATGGGATATTTGGAGTTGGT